ATCCCCAACTGAGGCCCAACTAAGGTACTTATAACTGTAGTTACTAAGTCCCATGAACCTCCAAGTAACCCTGGACCCAAACCCTAACCAGCAGCCTCCAGCCTCACCAGCTGCTACTGTGTGGCTGTGCTGTGCTTCACAGCAACCTATCGCCCAAATCCAACAGCTTCTGGAAGACCGCTCTTCCCTGAGCTTTGCCTTCGTCGGAAGCCTGGGCAGCCTGGGCCAGGAGGTCCGTCGCCCCCGGCCCCGGAGCCGACGCCCTCTGTGGCTTCTGTGACCGCACCGGCACCGATGCAGCGGCCGAGCGGCTTGGGGATCGGCGCCGGCTGTCGAGCCGCCTCTCTCTCCTGGCCTCCCTGCAGCTGCGGGATCGCGACCGAAGCTTCACCTTGGGCGCCTTGGGCTTGAGATCGATGCCCGTCTTCCGGTCCTTCCGGTCGCCGCCCCCGCCCCGGTGCTTCACCCTTCGGTCCGTCCCGCGGCTGGGGCTCCTTTTCGTTTTTTTCCATCTTTCCCGATTGTTGTCCTTCGCTGCCCCGGCTGCCTTTGGCATCTTCTCCGTGGTGGGGCGGGTCGGGCGGTTTGGGGATTCCGCCGACTCGTCGGAGTAGTACGAGCTCTCCGACGACCCGGACCCGGGTTGGGAGCTGGAGCCGGAGTTGTCGGAGGAGCTCACTTCTTCAGCTTGCTTCTGGCCCCTGGCCTTCTGCTCCTCCATCTGCTGTGCCTTCCTCCGCGGCTTCATCTTCTCGCCACTCGGGCCTAAACCAGTACTGCCACTGGCCCTGACACCCTGGCCGCCCTGGCGGCCGCCCTGGCCCTGGCCTCGGCCTGAGGATGGCTCCGGTGGCGGCTGCTTGTGGCAGGACCATTGGTGCTTGTCCCGGTCCTGCAGGGCTTTGAACTCCTGGGAGCACCACTTACACTTCCAGGCTCGGAGCAGCTTCTGCTTCGGGCAGGACCATTCGTGCTGGTCGCGGTCGTGGGCCATGCACCACTTGCACGTGTGCGGCTTCGCTAGCACCATGCCTGCTGCTTTCGCAGCCCACTCCAAGCACTTGCTGCTATTTTGCAAGTGCAAGTGAAGGGTGCTCTTGGGCTTTCGTAACCAACATATCGGACATCGCACGTAGCCCGCCTTATTGTCCACCAAATGCACCACCTTAAACTGTGGTATCTCCCCGAAGGGCCCCCACACCGTCTCCTGTGTGGGGTTCATCCGGCTGCCACCGGGATCGCTCCGGGTGCGGCGGTCCCGGTCCGCCCGGTCCCGGCCCCGGCCGCCCCTTTCCGCACCCCTGAGCAGCTCCGGCTCGCTTCGGGTGCGGCGGCCCTTGCCGGGAGCCGGCATTTCCCGGCCCTGCTTTTTTTCTTTTTCAGATCTTGTCTCCTTCTTCTCTTTCTTATCCTTCTTGTCTTTTTTATCTTTGTGTGGCTTCTCCTTCTTCTCACGGGACCTACCCCTGTGCACACGGGCCGCAGGGGGCTCGGCCTCCCTTTCTTCTTCACGGCTGGCCTCCAGCTGCCGATCAGCCAGCTTTTCTTTCAGCTGTTCTGTCCTCTCTGCAGCTGCATGTGCTGCTGCCTCCGCTGGCTCTGGCCCGCCAAAGTCCGGCTCGGACTTTTGCGACGGCGAGTCCTTCTTTGCCTCCGACTCCGATTCTTCGGAATCGGAGACTTTTTGTGCTGGGGCACCACCCATTGGGCTTGGAGCTGGAGGCTCCGGCACCCGGCACCTGGCAGGGAACTCAAGGAAGCTCGCAAACCTAGAAACAGAAACACATGACCCTGCTGACACACAGCTGCGATCCTCGGTGCTAGCAAGCCCCAGCCACCGCATAGTCAGACTCTTGCTGAGACTGACTGCAAGTGGCTAACGACCCACCGCCTGCCGAGGATGGAACAACTGCTGTATCAAAGCCTTGACACAGCTGCGATCCTCGGTGCTAGCAAGCCCCAGCCACCGCATAGTCAGACTCTTGCTGAGACTGACTGCAAGTGGCTAGCGACCCGCCGCCTGCCGAGGATGGAACAACTGCTGTATCAAAGCCTTTACACAGCTGCGATCCTCGGTGCTAGCAAGCCCCAGCCACCGCATAGTCAGACTCTTGCTGAGACTGACTGCAAGTGGCTAGCGACCCACCGCCTGCCGAGGATGAAGCAGCTGCTTTAACAAAACCCCAAACCCATAAACCCTTCAAACGAAACGAGAACCTTAACCTTGCAAACCCCAACCTGCCTGCAACGCCGCCCCGGGCCTTCAAGCCCGTCAAGCCCCCGGCCCGGCCTCCGGCGAAGGAGCCAAACAGCTACGGACGCAAGGTGCATGCAGTAAAATAGAAAGTGAATACACTTGAAATAATCAACTCGCTCACCTGGACAACAATGCAGCCGCACTGGAACATGTCATGAGTGTAGGGCTTTGCTTTGTGCACAAACATGTCATGAGTGTACGTTTGTTTCCGACAAATGCACCAACGTCCGACTTCCACGAACTCTACAGTCCCAGAGACTGCCGCTGCTTCATGCTACGAACAGCTTCAGAAGTGGGATTGTGGCCGACATGCTCCGCAGTCGTGCGAAACCGCTGTGCCGCAGAGGCCCAGGTCAACAACCAAGCAACACAATCTTGGATACTAGGGTAATCAGTCACGAAAACATAGCGACGACATTGTCCTTTGTGGGCAGCACACCCACAGGCAATGAAAGCCCGACGACGCCCAGACTGATGTGTAAAGTTGTCGAAATAAACCGTAAGCCCTTCAAGCCCAGGCACTCGGGATTGCACGGGCTTCTCACCCGGCATCTCGATTTGCAATTGCATGGGCGGCTCCAATGCTCTGGGGCGGGCGACACGGGACTTTGGCTCGCTGCCCTGCTTTCTCTTGCGGGGCCAAGCGAACTTCATCGTCTGTTCCAGTGTCCACTCCCCAATCCCCGTCAAATCTTCCTTTGTCAACAGAAGTTCGTAATACGCACTGCTTCCACAATGCGAAATTTTGCTCAGGTTCCCGGGCTTCTCGAAGATTGTTGCTTCAAAAGCAAGAGCTCTGAAGTGAAACTCGGGTCTGCTCAACATGTTGCCTGGCAGCTCTCGAGCCTCATCTTTGTGCCGCCACTCAAACGTTTTTTTCCTACGCTGGCCAGGCTTCCAGTCCTGCATCAGCAGCAGTTTAAGCCAAGAGAGCTTGTTTCTACCAGCTGAGCTCTGCATCTGTGGCTCGTGGTCAGCCAAGGACACTGGATCCGTCAAAGTGACAACACCTCTGACTTGCATCTTCTCCGTCAGTGACAGTTGCAACTCTCCGAAATCGTCCTCCCTGACTTGCAGGATCCCTTTCTCTGAAAGCGATTGTGCTGCCGCAATACCAAAATAGGGAAGACCTAATGCCGGAACAAAATTATCTGCTACCGCTCTTCGTTGGAACAAGGTGTCTACCAAGGCTTGCTCAAGATCTGACATCACCATGGTCGCAGAAACGTCAACCCCTTTGTTTTCAGGAACTACAAGCTCCAGTTCCTGCCGCTCCCTGTCTTCCTCGGCCAAGTCGCAAAGCATGTCCTCGTCTGAGACAACAGCAGGCAGTCGCAATGGTGCTGCTTGCACACCTGTGGAGCTGTCTAACAGCTCGGCCTGTAGCTTGACCTGCAATGATGTACATTGAGGCAGCCAAACGACACAGGCCGAAGACATCATCTCGAGACCTGCCTGAGTAGCCACAGCACTCAGATCCAGATCGTGTTTCCGGACACTGGTGTACGAAACACGGGGCTGTTCGAGGTCTTCAAGGCTGACCTGCAAAAACCTGATGCACTGAAGGACATGTCTGTTCTTAACACTGCCGACACCTAGCTGCTGATGCCGCCTTTCGGGCCGTGCATCCACGACATAGCTGTAAACATGGTCTTCGGCCTTCCTAGCTACCACATCCTTCGGAATCAAAGCCTGTGCCATGTCCAGAAGTGTGTGCTTCCCCGCATCTTCCTCGTCCTGCCTCTCATCTGGCACAGATTTGGCTTGCAAGGTGTCAAAGAGCGCCTCGGGAACGCTAAAGACACAGCCTGTCTGCAGCTGGCTTTTCAAAAAGTCCACGTGAGCTTGACCTCTCCATTCACCAGGGCTGCGGCTGATTTCAGTGCCTTGTCGGTGGCATCTCCCAACGCTTCAGCACTGGCCTCCGTCTCCCCTGTCTCCATGAAGTGGTCCGCCTCATTGTACCCGTACACACGAGACAGTCTGTACGCAAAGGTCTTCTGCCAGCACGATGAACGTGGAAGCACATGTGACAAAAGCTCGACATCCAGACTTTGTTTTGGCCAGTTCTCGAGCAAAAACACGCGACCTACTCCATCATCCATGAATGCCTCATGCTGCCTCCTCCGTGCCCGGACACATGCCATGGCCGGCCCAGAGAAGCGAAGTGTTCTCCGGGCTCCGATTTTGATCAGGACATGTTGCTTCTCTGTGGCTCGCTCCACACAAGAGCAAAAGGCTCGTTCCTGAATTTCTGCCCACGCCAAAGGGAAATCCTCCAGCTGTCGACCGTGTGGTCCGCTTGGTGAATTCGCAAAAGCCCACAGCTGCTCTGCCACACCTGTCGCGGCTGCACCTTGCCTCTGGAAAATGCCGTGCAGCAAAGCATCAACACGGCCCACAGCACACAACCTGTCATACTCCCGGAAACACTCCGCGACTATCTTTTTGCTTCCCTCAAGTGTATACCTCTCAGGCATGCAAAAGTGAGCATAAGCGCCTGCAAGCCGGAAGGGCAACTGCTGAAAGTAAACGGTTTTGGACTCGAACACGGTCGCCCACTTCTCCCGGGCCTGCTGGTCCATGAAAGCCATGGCTGCCACTTCCCGCGGCAACCTCAAGACTGCCTCAGCATACCTGGGACTGGTGCATGCCCTGGCCTCAGCAAGGATGGTCTCTCCATAGCCCGCTGCAAGCACTGCTGTTCGCTTTCCCTTCCAGCAACATGAAATAGCTTCCCTGGCTTTCCGGGTTTTTGCTTCCTTCAGTTCACTCTCATGGCAGAAGCACCCTTCCATCCAGCGAGACCATCGCTGAACAAAACCCGAAAACATGAATGCCCACTCTGCATACGCTGAGTGAAAGGGATCCGTCAAGGCCTCCCCCACAGCATCGCAGAGTTGGGCTTCGGAACTCAGCAACTCCCGGTCCCAGTAATTCATCAGAATTGGACGTACATGCACATAATGTTTCAAGGTTTCGTAAAGAGACTCCCATCTCCAAGACAAAAGCTCCCCGTGATATGCCTGCACAGTGCTCTTCTCCTGTGCTGTGGCCGTAGCCATCATCCGATGCACCACAATGTCCCTGAAAGATCTGTCACGCAACAGTTTGGAGATGGCAGACAACTGTTTCTCGAAGGAATCCCAGCGAGGACACCCTTTGCATGACTCCTCCAAGGAATTAAACATGACGTGCATCAAGCCCAAATGCCTAAAGCTGTTCCAGAGCAATGCTTTTGAGGTGCCCCGCACCAGATGCTCAACATCCGGGTCGCCTTCAGCAGCAACAAGTGCTGCCAAAGCCTGCAGCTCTGCAGGATCTCCTGACACAGGCATCTGGGGTACCTTTCTTTCCGTCCCTTGATCCGAAACCCAGCCTTTGACCTGGGCACGATATGTGTCCTCGTAGTCAGGACCGTTCTCAAGTATGATTGCATGCCGCAGGCGGCAAGCCTTGAGAAAGGCACGTGTCTCGCCTCGACCTAAAGTCGTGATCACCATAGTCCTGAACTCATGGGTGAAACCCTTCCAAGGGCACGCAGAAGCCTGCACAGGGACACATCTTCGAATTGTCTCCTCTGTGGTTGCCAAATATTCGTAACCTGCTTGGGGCGAGGCATCCATCGACAGGTAACGAGCCACTCGCACCTGGTCCCCTGCAACTTCGCTACGCATGAGCCTTCTTCGGAAATGCATGCTCAGCAAATCCAGCTTGAGCATCCACTTTCGCACTGTCGCAAAGTGGGGGAGGCTGCCCAAAGCTCGCTGAAGCATACCCTCGTCCACTGACCCCAGAAAAGGGTTCAAGAACTGAACGGCACATGATAGCACCGTTCTCATATCTGCAGCAAATTGCAACGAAAAGTTCATGCGGAGCAAACTCAGCTGTTGCGATGGGCTAAGCTTATCCTTCACAGGCTGAACCTGCACAGCCAGAGCATTTGGTGGCTCCCCCACTGGCAAGTGCAAGGATTTCGCCACAGAGACGGGTGTGCAGAAACTTCTGTTTGCATCACCATCAGGATTCTCCGACAAGAAATGCAAACTTCGAGGCACTCGGATAAGCCATGGCCTATCAAAAGATGCATCCACAAGACGGCCTCCATCAGCTGCCGCCGCCGCACCTGCTGCACCTGGGCCTGCAGCATTTCTGTTCAAAGTGCCGCTGCAGCGGCCACCTGACTGCTTGCATGTTTGAACAATCTCCGGAGTTGCTGTACAGACCCTCTGGAACTGCTTGCCCGGAAACTGCAAGCGAGTCATCGCAATGGGCTGGCTGAATGTGAACTGTTTCTCCACTACCCATTCACAAAATTTACACTCGTGGGCGGTGGATGAGGCATAGCCGCTCGACCGGCTCGGCACGCTGAACTTCAGCTCGTTCCAAGCCTCTACCTCCTGAGTCAGGAGGCCCGTGTGCATGCGACCCGGCAGATATTTCTGCACAGCACTAATTTTGCACGCCATCCGGATCTCGGCTCCTGCCGGCCGCCTGGCATCTCCCCCAGCGGGGACTTCGTCGCCCGTATACAGCAAAAGCCATTTGGGCAGCTGTGCTTTTCCAGCTAAAACGCCCTGCCCAGCCCGGCCGCTGCACAAGTCGCTTGGGATTTCGATCACAGCATTCATTGGGTGAAACTCTAGCTTGTTCGCTTGATAAAAAGCAGCGAAAACACCTTTTAAGGTCGTCTTGCATTGTCGTCTTAATTCTACGTTAGAACCAGCCTCAAAAAAAAAATTAAAGTAGTATGTAATAGTGACACCCCCCCAGCCCCACCATTAAATTGTAGTCACCAACGAGTTCTGGTGTTGCAACAGCCAAGTGGATCCGAACTGAGCAGAATTTTTTTTCAAACCCAAAGGTCGATCGCAGCCCTCCGAAATTGGCACTTTGGGGGTCGACCGAACTTTGAATTCAGAAACGACGAAAAAGTGCTTTCAGAGCTAAACCCCCCCCAAACCCCTGAAATGGTTTTAGAACCCGAGGCGCACAGGCAAGACCATAAGGATTTCCAGATGCTCGTCCGCGTCATCAATGAGGCTTATGGAGTGGACTTCTTCTCCTACATCCAGCGCCACGCCAGTGATCTGGAGGTTCGCCGGAAATATACGGTGCGAACCCCTGAGGGCTACAACCTCTGCGACAGTACCCTCAAGCAGCCGTTCAACGGCAGCTACTTTCTGGCTGTTCTGGACAAAGTTTTCGCTGAATCTGAGCACCGAGATTTCAAATCGGCTTTCGCACGTAAAGCCAAAGCGGACTTGGTTGCTTACGAGAACTTGAAGGCGAAGAAGGAGTCCGAGCTGAATGAGCTCCTCACCCGACCATATGACGACATTATGATCGAGGAGTTTATCGAGCGGCTCCCATGTCCACAGATCGAAGAGATCGAGGAGCCTCCAGCGGCTACTCAGATGGACACCTCCGAGCCGGCTACTGGGTCTTCGGACTTGCCACAGGGCAAGAAGGTTGATCCGGTGAAGACCGAGCCGACCGATGTGCCAATGGAGACTGACGCTCCGGGAAGCTCTCCACAGGGAGAGGTACCTGAGGCTACAGTCGAGCCAATGGAGACAGACGTTCCGGAAGGCTCTCCACAGGGAGAGGTATCTGGGGCTGATGTCACACCGCAGAAGACCGAAGCCGAGGAAGGCTCTCCACATGGAGAGGGATCCAAGGTAAAGGTCGAATCTGATGAGCACATGGGTCAGGAAGGAGGTAAGTCCGAGAACATCGAGATGGCTGATGAAAGCTCACCACAGGGTGAGGAATCCATGCCAGACATTTCTCCCGAAAAGGATGATGAAAGTGAACTTCACGATCAAGGCATCTGGGGGAAATGCAAGACTGTTCCGGACCCTGAGTACTACCAGGCCGCGAAGGATGCAGAGGACCAGAACGAGAACGCGTTCGAGGAGATGGGCAAGGCCAAGGATAAGATTGAGCTCAAAGACACCGAAGAGTTCAAACGTTTCCTCTCGGAGCTCACTGAGATCGAACGACAAAGCCCTATGAGGCTGCTTACCAAGCAGCTAAATGGATACGGCTATTCAGGCTTGTATCATACAGGACTGCGTGATCCTGACTACGAGCCCGTTCTCGCTTTCAAGGTGCAGCATATGAGTTGGAGGGTAAATGTTCCGCCTCACAAGGGACAGAAATACACCCTCTCCATGGGGGACCTCTTCGATCAACTCAACAAGATGTCTCCCATCTATGAGCGCCGTCCCGAAAAGCAGAATGTGGTCTTTCGTTCTGGGGACGTCCGCAGCACCTTGGATGACAAGCTCATGGGTAAGGCCTCTGACATCCGAGAATCAGCTCTCGAGGTTATGGAAGCACTTCTGGATAAGCTGAAGTCCCTCGATGCAAGCGGCAATCCGGCAACTCGAGAAGAGCTTTTGAACGCTATGCTTCATTACTTCTTGAGCGTCGGAGTTGATGAAGAGGAGATCGGAGACCTCTCTCTTGAGAAGACACCGAATCCTTATATTCATCGTTTTGGTCTGGCAGAGGACTCAAAGGTTCCCATCTTTACCAGCAAGACCAAGTACGCCGCGCTCATCGTCAATCTCGGCAACATGAGCAGGGGAAGGAAGCGTTCTGCTCCTACCTCCGTTGCTGATCACATTGACTGGGACGATTCTACACCGTCTCGTGGAGCTCTGATAAAATCAATTGCCCAGTCGAAGACGCATTTGTTCATGCTATGCGAAGCAGCCAAGATCGATGACTCCGAGGAGGCCTTCCTCACGCCGCGCGGTTGGCAGTTCTTGCGCAACGAGTCAAAGGATCTGATGGTGGGAAGTCGTACCAATGGTGTTGGATCTTCGCTCACCCGCCTGGCTGGCTCCACTCTCAGTGGATTCGCACACGAGTCTCTCCCTCTGACCTACATGGTCGTCGAGATAGTGTACGGCATGACAGTTCCGACTGGCATTCAGGGCAATCGAGATGATTTTCCAGAAGAGGCACTGACTAAGGTCCTGGAGCGCGCCGGCTCCGACCGTATCAGAGTCTGTGTCTTCCATCTCCGGAACGACGTGGCGGCAGACAAGGTGGCGTTGGCTCACGAGGTGTTGGGCAATATGTTCATCGACTGCTTGCACTACCAGGTCGACCTCATTGGAGGCGATGCCAACATGGCCCTGTACCGGGCCACTGGCAGGAAGCAGGAATCGATGGACATCCGCGGCGGGATGTACCAGAGTCTCATGGACTACTTCCTGGAGGCCTGGTCAGAAAGCCCGAAGAGCCTACACCTCTGCTCGCCTCGCGCGAGGCATGTGTCAGCAAACGCCATGTGGCTTCTGAAGCAGTATGAGGACACGCTGGGAATGCCGTACAGGGAAGTTAAGCAACCAGACTGGAATACTTTTCCTACTTTGGATCCTGTTATGGCTACGGTCATGGAATGGGGACACAGCATGTCGGACGATCAATGGGCAGAGTTCCCGTCTTCAAGGACCGAGTTCGACATCCATGTCTCCGAGTGGCTGTTGAATTCCACCAGCGCCGCGTACCTCCTCAACGATCGGGACTATGACGCTCACACTCCGCTCCTTATTGAGGTTCACGCGAACCAGTACACTGGAGGCAGGATGAGAGCGCTCAACCGCAATCCCGACACCATGAAGGAGGCCGCGGACAGAAGAAAAGAGAGGCAGAAGTTGAACAAGGCGCGTGGTTCTGGTTCTACTGGTCCTGCGTCCGCACCACACGGAACAAGCTCTTCTCAGGAAGAGGCAGCTCCGGGTGCTAAAGCTTCTCGCTCTCAACGTCCTCCAGAACCCGCACAACCTCCTGGTGGCAAAGAAGGCGGCAAAGGAGGCAAGTCCTCCAAAGGAAAAGGCAAGGACGCCGACAAGGGCAAGTCCAAGGGCAAGACCAAGGACAAGTCCAAAGGCAAGGCCAAGGGCAAAAACTGACTAGGTTCTGTCGAGGGCGAGGACACAGACGTTGACGTTTCTGACGAAGACGTTGGTCCTGGCCCAGCATCCTTCGGTGGTAGACCGTGTCTTCCATTTCACTTCCAACTTCATTACTGGAGATTGGAGAGATGGTACTATCCACACTACCGGCTGCCTCATCCAGACGACAGTCCTCGGACTCGCCGCATCTATGAGGAGTACAACCGGAGGATAATGACCCAAGGTCCGATGGAAGAAGTGGAATGAGTGTTTCACGGAATGCTTCTTTCAGAAGAAGGTATCCACTTGAGCATTCGTCATTTCATAGGAAGATGCTTTTCTCATGAAGAGGTACTTCCTTAGAGACATTCTTCCGAAGAAGATACTTATCTCAGGATAAGATACTTCTAATGCCCTTATATGTTTGCCGTGTCGCAAGATGTCATGCTGGCATCAAGTAGAGCTAAGCTCTACAACCTTTTATGTTACAGTATGCTTTCCACCTGGAGAGGGAACTGAAACACAAGTGGGCAACTTTCAAGCACAAGTTTCCGGTTGAAGATCCGTTTGCGTTTTTGTGCGTGTTCTGCTCTTTTCAATGAAGCTGTCTTCAGGTGAGAGATGTATAGATTCTCTTCAAGTCGCAGATGTAGCTCAATACTCCGCTAATTCGACCAAGAGCAATAACAGGCTAGTTGAATGCCGACTCCACGGCCATGCAGCTCTACGTGTTTTAAATTTGTGCCTGGTTGAAACACTGAATGTTACACATCCAGGTGCCTGTCTGTTTCACGTATCACTTGCATGTATCCATGCCTGTTGCTCAAGGTTCTAGTGCAGTGGACTACAGCTGTGCGCCTGTAGCAAAAGAGACACCTGAGTGCCTGTGTTCCTGTACGCCTAGCGAGGGGATACACGTCCAGGTTACATCTCAGGGGGGGGGGGGGAAGGGGGAATTAGCTTTGAGGCTTCTGGCAGAAAATTCCAGCTGGAAAAAAAAATGGAAACTCCAGGAGTTTCCCGTTTTCTTTTGCATCAGTAGAAGTGAGTGCAACAATCATCCACTCTCCGCGGTGTCCTTCAGCGCTTCGCCAGCTGAGGAAGAAAGCCTGGGCTGGCCAGACCACGAGCAAAACATCTGCACTCTCTACCATCACAGATGCTCCAGGTCACAAGTAGGCTATGGGGACTCATATACATATACATAGTTACATATACATATAAATACATATACACACATGGAGAGAGAAAGAGAGCAGGATCCACACTCCAGCTGCATTGCTGTGTTGCTGAGTAGTTGTGTTATCATGATGTTCTGCCGCTGTGTTGTTGTATTGTTTTCGTGCGACAGGCTCCTCCAGGTTTAGCTTGTCATGCCTGTCGTTCTTCGGGTAAAGCCCTGCAGAACACTTGCAAGGCGCTTTCCCACGTCTACACGGCGTGCCGAACTGTTGAAACTAGACTAACTACTGAAAGCAAAAAGTCTTGGAACAAGCATTATCAAAGACGCAAGGGCTTCTCCAAAAACGGTGGCTCGTCACGAACGAGGTAACACATTGTTTGGACACGGCCATGCCCAACTGGCTGCATGGGGATTTATGAGGCAAGAGCCTGAAGCATGGAAAAGCAAAAGGAAACTACGGCAGTTTCCATTTGATTTTCCATTGCTATACTGTTTCAGGCCAGGGGCCCTGATTGCAGGACCGAAACGACCAGAAATCCCATCGAGAAGTGGAATGATGCTTTCATGAGAATTATAGTACTACATAGTCTATAATAGTCCTATAGTGCTACGGCTTATAATAATTATACAAAGTATAATTCTATATCCCAGCGGCTGCAGAAGTGCTGGTTCGTGAACCGAGCCGTCGCAGGAGTATTCCTTTGCTGTGCATCTCTTGGGATGCAGGGATCAGGGGCTTCCTGTGAGCGGCAGTCCGAACACTCCCTATCTTTCTTTTTGCAGGCTGAGTTATAAGGGCCCAGGGCCCTCCATGGTTGATCTGACAAATTTCAGGTTTCAAGTCGCGAGAGAAACGACACAACAAGTCCTTAACAGAAACCCTCAAAATTATTCTTACTATTATTCTAAGCATTATTGTTTATTACCATTATGTTCTGTATTATTACTATTAACAACCTGGCCACTTCTGGCATCCCGAAGTCGTCGAGGAGCATATCGCCTCGTTTCGCAGTCAGGCAAGAAGGGCTGGATGCTCCCGCACGCTGCAGCTTACCACAATGCACAGAATGCAGGTCCTTTCTGCAAACAATCGTTGGACAGACTTTGACACCGCGCCAGTAGTTTCCGTTTGACTTTCCATCATAATAATGGAAAATCAAGCCGAAACTACTGTAGTTTCCCTTTGAAGGTTCTTAACGGCTCTCGCAACTCCAGAAGCAGGTGCATGCGACCGAGATTCCGCCCTCGTCCAGCATAAGCCCGGAGCGCAAGATCGGCCAGGTGAGCTCCTCAAATCGTGTTACCTCACAGGGCTGCACGGCGAGACCCCGCAGACCCTTGAAACCCTAAACCCTGCGCCGGCTGCCCTGCCTGTTCAAGCAGACCCGAGAACACCTCCATCGATACATGCCTGGGTTCTTGTTACAGGATTTAATTTAAGTTACCATGCTTTGGATCTACAGTTTAAATACTAGGGCTTCCTTACTATGGTAACCTTTTTTTTACATCCCTGAGCAAGAACCCAGATGCTGGGGGACAGCCGATGAGATGATGCAAACCGACGCATGAACGCAGCGCCACATGTTCTCCAGCACACCCGGGGCACAGTACTTGGCCGTGTCGGTTGGGCCCATGAAGTCATTGAGCACCGCGTAAAACCCAGCGGATTTGTCAATGACGAATGCCTTGTCTCTGCTCAAGTTGCCTGCGCGGAAGGTGATGTCTGAAGCTGTCGCATTCCGGTCGTGGAGCAGGCCGGAGGCATTCGTGTAGTTGACGAGGACCAAAGGCAATGCGACTGTCATCTCCTGGATGAGGGATACCATTTGCGCAGTGACCTCATGGCCACCATAGTCCTGGCTGGCATTCCCCTGAGAGCCTGGCGCTTGAAATTTGTACGCCAAGCACCACGGCAGCAGCAGCGCTGCTAGCCGGAGTTGCTTCATTGCGACGGACAGCCGGGATTTGCTACACTGTCAACCTGGATCAAGACATGGCTCTCAGCCGGTTGGCAATCGTCAGCCCCCCCCATGCCCAAGCGCCCTACACAGTCTCTGCCTTCAGGAGACTTCGGTGTTCCTTCAGCTGATCAGGCGTCTGCTCTTGACCCCAGGGTCCGAAGGGCAGGTTGTAGTCGTGCTGCAAGGCTAGCCGGCGCTTCACCTCCAGGGTAGTAGGTCCAGGTGAAGGTAGGTCTCAATGAGACTCAGTGTCCCGCAGTCCCGCACACCGACAATGACAGGAGCTAAACACAAAATCAGGTGGACACCGACGGGCAAACCTTGGAGATAATTGAAACACTCACTGGGACACGATGGCACACCGATCAGGACACCGACTCCGATCGAGACACGACCGAGACGACAACGACCGGAACACGAGGGACTCGACAAACACATGGTCGGACACAACTGGCACAGCGACCGGAGCACCGACCCAAAAACCAGAAACTGCGACCCCAACCAAAACGATACATACACGGCCGAGACAGCACCTGGACACCGACCTAGACACAACCGGGACAGGACCGAAATTGATCAGAACACTGCACACCGCAGACATCGACTGATACACGGGGCAAACGAATGAGACACGACCTGACAACGACCAAAACACGACCAAACACCACCGAAGCGGCGTGGCCATCACGGGGACACGGACTGCGGGACACTTCGAATCCCACCGGGAAGCGACCAGTACCCAAGGCGCCTACCCAAATTGACCGAAGACTCTTCAGAAGACCGCGACTCCGACAGCGACCCCCGACTTTCGGGGATCGTTTAGGTAAACTTGGTGGCTATTGAGGAACGAACGAACAAATGAGAAACAAAGCAAGCCTCCGGACTGAGAGGCAAGGCCTACCAACGCTCAGCGTCATGCAGTGAATACAGTTAACTACAGCAGGGATTCCATGTCCTAACCTGATATCATTGTGTATTCATGGACTCGGACAACAAGCCCACGCAGCCCAGGAAGTGCAAAGAAGCCCCTTTCCGGCGGGCACCTTGAGCTGCCCGGCCAAGTCTAATACCAGCCGGGCCGTGCTCGAGCAAATGCAGAGATCCCAAACCGAGGCCTGCAGCTTCAGATCGAGGGTTTGGACTCTCGCGACGCGAACACTGCAGTCTAGGCAGATCAAGGGCCTAGGGTTCATGCTTCAACGGGATCTTGGGGCATGCTTATAGACGTATAGTCTTTCAGGGTCTAACTTTGAAGATGCGATCTCCCAATCTTCTGGCTGCAGGAGCACACCAGCCGCTTATAGGGGGTTGCGTTCATGGTCGGCCTTGAGAAACGACACTCAAATTCAGAACAGCCTCAGGCCTTGATATTTCCCAGAAGCTTAAGATCTGAGCCTTCCTCCTGCGAGCCTCCGTGGAATTTGAACAGCCCGAAACGACCGTTTACCCTAAGCAACCTGGATGGCCGGTTGCATACACGCCCTTTGAGGGCGGGACTCAGCCCTCTGTGGCTCCCAAAAAACTTTGCAAAGCCAAGCGTAGTAAAGCGAAGCTGCCGGGAACTTTGTGAGCAGCTGCTCTCGGGAGCCCCAAACCACGCTCTTTTCCCTGTCATGCTGACCTGACTTCGTCTAAGCTTCCGGGCTTCGATCAGGCTTTAGGTTTTATCCTTTATACATGTAAGAGCCGGGAAATCGGTCTATAGTTGTGTAAGTTATGTAGGTCTGTGCTTCAGATTCATGCATCTCAAAACTTCGACATTCGGAATCAAATTTTCACATCCTTCCGGGCAAACTCCAGGTCGGCCCACGGCACAAATCCCTTGACGAGAGCTCTGCATATTACATTCTGCCATTGTTTAAGCCGACATTCCTGAACTGAGGGCCGCTGAAACTCGGAACCTTAAACCTTCTCACCTGATCGCCACTTTGCAGAATAAACCCAACGCTGTAATGCAATAGAGAACTCATGTTGTTGCAGACCGGTGGCCGAGAAGGACGCTAGAGTCCTTCGGCCCCTGCTTGGGCGGAGCCTTCCAGTCGAGCACCAAGACATCCACCTTCCGGACGACCTCCTGGACAAAAAGACTAGGCGGGCAGTGGGAGGTGAAAATGTGTCTCGAGCTACGGGATTGAAATCTCCTCAGCATGAAACGGTCAAGTCTCGGGATTTGGTATTGGGTTCAATGGCTCGGCCCCCCCACTCAAACTGCTCCTTACTACCACTACCACTACCACTACTGCTACTGCTACTACTACTACTACTCCTACTACTCCTACTATCGCTGCGGCTACTACCACTACTACTACCACTACGTCCACTTCTGCTTCTGCTACTGCTATTACTACTACTACTACTACTGCTACTACTTCTGCTACTACCACTACTACTACTCTTACTTCTACTACTCCTACACTACTACTACTACTACTACTACTACTACTACCACTACTACTACCACTACGTCCACTTCTGCTTCTGCTACTGCTATTACTACTACTACTACTACTACTACTACTACTACTACTACTACTACTACTACTACTACTTCTGCTACTACTTCTGCTACTACCACTACTACTACTCTTACTTCTCTACTCTACTACTACTACTACTACTACTACTACTACTACTACTACTACTACTACTACTACTACTACTACTACTACTACTACTTCTGCTACTACCACTACTACTACTCTTACTTCTACTACTCCTACACTACTACTACTACTACTACTACTACTACTACTACTACTACTACTACTACTACTACTACTACTACTACTACTACTACTACTACTTCTTCTACTGCTACTACTGCTACTACCACTACCACCAGTACTACTACTACCACCACTACCACTACCACGACCACTTACCACAACTGCTACTGCTGCTGCTACTGCTACCGCTATTTCTACTACTGCTACACCTACGCTTACTCCTGCTCCTACTCCCACTCCTACTCCTCCTCCTCCTACTACTTCTACCATCATTATGATTTTTACTTCTACCACTACTACTACTACTACTACTACTGCCACTGCTATTACTACAACTGCCACAACCACAACCTCTACCACTACCACTACGACAACGACTACTACTACTGCTGGTTTACTCACTGCAGTCGCTACTGCAGCAGCAGTGGCAACAACACCACCAACACTCCCACCGCGGCTTCTCCTACGTCCAGCATCAGGGTTGTGAACTTACTTTGGCTACCACTGTCGAGGCAGTTGTGGTTGTGTGGCTATGACTTACGCATGTTCTTCTTTCTAGGTCCTGCCTGCGGCTGAGCACACAGGTGGCGGATCAATGCTTGCGAGGCCTTCCAGGAAGTATGCTGGCACAGGCCGAATCCAGGTCGCTCGATGTGCACTTGGCTAGGTGAAGGCAGTCAGACAGCTTGATGAACCGGAGAACCTACAGAAGAACGCCCAAAATGAATCTGAGGTCCGTTGCTCCCGAATTCAGCGATGTTCCCTACACAGGTTTCGGATATCAGACGGTGCAGCCTGCAGAGTGAAGAGTCCAAGAGCTTTAGGACGTAAGCTTACAAGCTCTGTCAGCCCTGAATGCGAACGTGCCGAGGCCTTCTTGCGATCACACCCGGGCCCTCGCTGACGCTTATCTTGCGTCTCATCGAAGTCCTGGCCGCTGGGTTATAGAACGTCCAGCAACATTGGCCTTCCTGCAGGGTAAGGGTGGTGACGAACCCTGGCACTTATTGTAATTCGGAGTGCGGAATTTATCCACTCGCTTGCCAGTAGCAACTAGCAACCTAGCTGAAATTTTGAAATGGGCATGCTGGGATGCCGGTAAACGAACTACTCTAGCTCCAAGCAAACAGGAAATGCATGACCATGGAATTGAAGGACAGAAGGGAGATGTCAGTAGTGTGATGTGCTTCAAGCCCAATGCACACCCGATCCTTCTACGATACCGACTCCTTCGAACTATGTCGTGATTAAGTGTGACATAGCACTCCGCTTCGACAGGCGCTTTGGTCCTGAAATGTGGCAACCACCACTATGTCCATCATGAGGCCTGGATGCCTTTCTACATCCAGCTTGCTTGAGCACTGAATGGCGACCATCACAAGGCCGAGACAGGTCGCGCATGCTGTTAGCCTCTTGCTGGTTCCACTGAACCCGCAAAGCCGCTTACCGATGCCTTGCACAAAACGTCACAGCACCTGACTTTTGGAAAGGAGTTCGGGGTAGTCTCAAAAGACAGCCCAAAAGGCAGAGCATCTCTTCGAAAGCCGGAGCAGGCTCGATAAGGTCAGGACAGGACTTGTCACTGGTGACTGGTGACTAGGGCTACTATGGCTACTACGTGTATGGCGGCTAGGGCCAGGTCTCGAGTTTTTGGAGTTGTGGTCCTGCTGTGGTGTTCGGATTCGTGACTCGGGCCCGTCATGACAGCAACTCTGTCTCTGAGCTTCCTGCACACTCCTGGTGTCCAACCTGATTGCACCGGCCCAAGGTTCGGCGGCTACAGGCTTGTTTGAGTTTGGGCTGCAGGTCTAGGATTGAAAGTTCGATGAGCTTCGGCTTTGGATCGCTGCTTGTACTGTGGTCTTTGGTGCCTACAAACAGTAATGCATCAAATCCGGCCGAGGTGCCAAATGGAGCATAGGCCGATTCAGCAGTCGTTTTGGTCTAGCATGTTTGCTACTTGTTTGCGGTGGTCACAAGGTTTTAAACAAGAGCTTTACATGCTACGCCGGCGAGGTCTTATCACGAAGAGGACTTAGATTTGGCCGTGGGCTATGAAACAGCGCAAGATCTTTATCTGTATGCTCGAAGCCCAACCGATTCGCATCAGCACCATCATGCATCATCGTCATCATCATCGTTCGACTAAACCCTTTTCCAAGTGTTGGTGAAAGCTCTCGGGTTCAGCTGTACGACCTTGTGGAGTTTGGTGATGCTGACACGGACTGCCTTCAGTTTCTCGATCTCGATGCCGTGCTCACGGAGCCTTGGCTGTCGCCGACTTCGGGCAATAGATGAATTTCTTGAGGTAGGTCTCGTCCACATCATGGGTTGTACACCCGCAATATTATGCACACTACTCCGCAGCAATCTGGTATTGGTTTACCACAGAAGCACCCGGTGTTGAGAGTCCAGTACATGCATACGCACATACATGTGTGTGTGTGTGTCTTCGTGTGTGTGTGTGTGTGTGTGTGTCTTCGTGTGTGCACATGCACGCGTCAACAAGTAAATAAACATAAACCCTATGCACACGTAGATTAAAAATGCTAAGAGGTACCTGTTCTATGTGATATAGCATACTTACTGTATCATTTCGGCTGTTCAATACAGTACAGCCTTGGCCCCCTAAAGAAACACTGGCAGTGGGGCCCTGGCTGGTTCCGGACATCTCCGAGTCCGGCCTCCACCTCCTGTAACCGCTGGGAGAGCAGCGCCCTCTCCCGTGCGCATGCGTCGTTCTCCCGCAGGCACTCCTGCGTGTCTGCGCGCATTCGCTCCATCTCCTGCATCTGGCTTTGAAGCCGGGACTGGAAGTCCTCCGACTGGGCCTGCATCCGTTGCATGGAGGCTCGAGCATCTGCAAGCTCCCGCGAAAGCACCTCCTGCTGTGTTGCCTGGTCTTGCCTCGCTCTTGAGAGCTCCTGCATGGCGCTCCCTAGGTTTTGAAGTTGGCTCCGCCATCCCTCGGACTCGGCCTCGAGTCGATGCACCGCCTGCCGCGCCCCGGCCAACTCCTCAGCCAGGGCTTCGGCCCGGTGGCCCTGGAGCTCCTGCGGAGCATACAGTGTAAAGAAAAACCTACAGAAGCCTATGCAGTACAGAGAGAGGGTTCAAGCGGGCTTGAGAAAGCTGAAGATGCCGAAGGTCTTAGGGCTCTTAGGCTGAAGATGACTGAACTGGGGGGGGGGCTCGGGAGCTCCTCCCGCGCGCGCTGCGCGGAGAGGACCTCGTCGAGGCCACGCCTCAAGGAGTCGATCTCCATGGCCTCAAGGGACAGCGCTCCAAAGCCAGTCTTGGAAAGTCGACGCCTCCTTGAAGTTTCTGTGCCAATGTTCTGAAAAGCCTACCTCGGTCCTGAAACCGCCACAATTTAACAACAGTCGAACGGCTGAAACACAAAGCCATGGGATCCGGTATACACTCATCGCGCGATTCCCTTTTGCAGCACCTTGCGGCTTGCGATGTAATTTCGAATTACTATGCTGACGGTCCTGGCCTGGCCCCTCATCGCTTCGGCAAACTCGCGATGCACTGCCTGCTCTGCGGCTTCGCGGGCGGCTTGAAGCTGGCTGTTCCTCAGCTGGGTGCTTTCTTTTTGAACAGTTGAACAAAGCAAAGGCTGGCGAACAGGGTGAGTAGCGGCAGTAGTAGTAGCGGGAGTAGCAGCAAGCAGTAGTAGTGCATTGGTGGTGGTAGTGAGATTGCATGGTACTGGTAGCGGCAGGGGCTGTCTCGCTTTAGCAGTGGCAGTGGCAGTGGTGGTGGTAGTACAGTCTCAGCAGCAGTCAACGTAGTCGTCGTATGTGGTCGTCGTGGCGGGTAGTAGCAGCACCAGTAGTAGCAGCAGCAGGAGCAGGAGCAATGTAGGAGTAGGCGTAGGAGGACTCGGAGCAGGAGTAGGAGTAGGAGGAGCAGGACTAGGAGTAGCAGTAGGAGTAGGAGTCGGAGTAGGAGCAGGAGTAGCTATAGTAGTAGTAGTAGTAGTAGTAGTAGTCGCAGTCGCAGTAGTAGTGGTAGTAGTAGTAGTAGTAGTAGTAGTAGTAGTAGTAGTAAAGTAGTAGTAGTAGTAGTAGTAGTAGTAGTGGTAGTAGTAGTAGTGGTAGTAGTAGTAGTAGTAGTAGTAGTAGTCGTCGTCGTCGTCGTAGTGGTAGTGGTAGTGGTAGTGGCAGTGGCAGTGGCAGTGGCAGTGGTAGTGGTAGAAGTAGCAGGAATACTAGTAGTAGTAGTAGTAGTAGTAGTAGTAGTAGTAGTAGTAGTAGTAGACGTAGTAGTAGTAGTACTAGTAGTAGTAGTAGTAGTAGTAGTAGTAGTAGAAGTAGTAGTAGTAGTAGTAGTAGTAGTAGTAGTAGAAGTAATACTAGTAGTAGTAGTAGTAGTAGTAGTAGTAGTAGTAGTAGTAGTAGTACTAGTACTAGTACTAGTACTAGTTAGTAATAGCAGTAGCAGTAGCAGTAGCAGCAGTAGTAGTAGCAGTAGTACTACAAATACAAGTACAAGAACACGTACAAGTACAAGTAGTAGTAGTAGTAGTAGTAGTAGTAGTAGTAGTAGTAGTAGTAGTAGTCGTGGTGGTGGTGGTGGTGGTGGTAGTACTGGTACTGGTACTGGTAGTGGTAGTCGTAGTGGTAGTGGTAGTAGGAATATCAATAGGAATAGTAGACGTGGTCGTAGCAGCAGCAGCAGGAGTAAAAGTAACCGTCGTGGTAGTAGTCGAAGTAGTCGTGGTAGCCGTAGTCGTGGTTGTGGTAGTAGTTTTTGTCACCCACATGGCACGCCAATGACAGCTCCGCGGGGACTTAAGGATCTCAAGTCACAAGAGCGTCCCAAAGGAAAACACCACAACAGAAGGTAAGGCCACGGAGTACACTGGGACACTCTTGATCTGGAAGCTACACTCACTGCTCGCTCCGGAGGGCTGAACACAGTCCCAAAGATGCACCCATAAACAACAAACCACACCATCCATCACCCACAATTAGGTCATCACTCCGGCAGCAGCTATCACTATAAAAGTGGTCACTTGGGAATTTCAGTGTTCTCACAAAAACGTGCAGCTATACAGATGGGTTTGGTGTGTTGACACAGTCCGCGGCGGGCCAATTTGGGCCAATTAATTAGATATCACATTTTGAGTAAATTAGTTCGTTAATTAATTGCAAAGGTGAGCACCCTAATTAAAGAAAAGGAGAAGTAGGGGGCCAGGCAATTACGTCCCAATGTCACCCACAGAGGATCCCCATAGTAAAACAAACAAAGAACCAAGGAAAGAAACATTGGGTGGGAGCGTTGCGCTGGCCATCTACCTCGGGAAGTGGTTACTCGTCGACTGCACTCAGACCGTCACGCTCACACAGGGCTTTCGCCGCCAAGTCAGGAAGGACATCTTCGTCCTTCGCTGTAAGCGAGGTCATCCAGCTTTCATCCAGAAGAATGTACCAGAGGATGGCACTCAATTTTGTCCAGATACATTGGTCCCGAAAGCATCGTGGACCTGCCCGTATGTGCCTCCAGGTGTACCAAGAGGCTCAGGAAGCAAACGAGTGGCGCCCAGCGGCTTGTATTTGTAGGGCTGTTTGCTGCAGGTGGATGTATTCACCCCATGCCCAGTTTTGCCGCAACTTCCGACCAGGGCCGCCTGTGAGAGAGTCCGAAGTTCCCATCATGATATACTCAGGGTCGTAGTCATTCGCTATCCAGCAGGTGTCCCATCCAGTTCAGCGGCAACTTCAGACCAGGGCCGCGCGTCAAAATACGTTCGTTCGTTAGCCCAGTAGGCATCCCGTCCAGTTCAGCGGCAACTTCAGACCAGGGCCGCACATAATTGTGTACTCGGTCATGTGAAAGTATCCCATCCAGTTCAGCGGCAACTTCAGACCAGGGCCGCGCTGCAAAATACGCTCATATGTTAGTCCAGTGGGCATTCCATCCAGTTCAGCGGCAACTGCAGACCAGGGCCGCGCGCAGTTGTTCCTTCCGTCATGTGAAGGACGGCAGGCCTTGTTTGCCCGCACGCGCCTGTCCGGTCGCAATATGTGGGGCACATATTTGGCCACAGACTTTGGGTATTGTCATCGCCAGTGCAGTTGATTTGCTGTTGGTAAGGTTGCCCCGAGGGCTCATGCAGCAGGTCACGTTTTTCCATGGCTGAGCGGCATCAAGCTGGTGAAACAGGCGGGCAGAGTTTGCAGTACGGAAACAGTGCGGAGAGGGAAAGGGAGGAGGAGAGAGAGAGAGAGAGAAGGGGAGCAGCAAGGCAGGACAGAAGGAGGGCAGTGAAAAGCAGCAAGGGCAGCAGTCCGGTGAAAAGGCAAGGCAGGAAAAGTGGCAAAGCGAGCACTAGGAAAGTGTTAACGGTGTTTTGCACACCTGGCTCTGCCCTCTTGCATTTGTTTGGTCCAGGGACTCCGTTGGTTAGGCATCGGGCCTCCAGGTTTGTTTCATTCCATCTCTTCATCATCGGACGACGCGATGTGAACGCAAACGATTACATCATCGTCATCGGCATCAGTCTTCTCATCGCAGGGGCCTTTGGCTTCGACGGGGATATTTGCTTGGGGTGGTCCTGCTTTAGTGGGTGAGAAGTACTGGCGAAGGCAAGTTTGTCCGAATGATGGAGGTTTGAACCCTAGTTTGACAAGGTAGTCAGTGCACCCAGGGTTTGTGGAGAGGATGTTTGTGAGGACAAAGGCAGCAATGCTAATCCTGGGTGGAGACGGGGGACACTTAGGGTTAGGGACTGCACAGTGTGGGACTTTCGCGTTGAATTTCAGTGGTTGTTCGGACAGGTTAAAAGTTGTTCCAGGAAGCATTCCGAAGTCCGAGTCCTGAAAATGCAGCCCTCCAACATGTGAAAGCCAAAACAAACATGGAGCAGGACCACAACCAGAGAGAACCATGCTAAGACCGAGGGTATTGGGATCTCTGTGCACCGAAAACTTTCCTCCAGTCCTAATACCAATGGTGGTAAAAGCGAGCCCTGGGAAATTCATACAAACAAAGGTCGTAACAAGTTGGGTTAGTTCACAGCAGGCATGGGATGCGTTAGTACAGCGATTAGATGATCGGGGTGAAAGGCCCAATACCAAAAGCTTGTTAGAAAGTTGGTTTCGGGACCAAAGGTACTTAGGGACATGGGGTAGTAGGGGAGCGAGGTCGAGGGACTTAGGGGATAAAAGCCCATCGATGAGTTCGTCGCGTACCTGGGCAGCCATTGTCTCTCCCTGGGTGCGGTGGTTGGGCAACTCCAACGGTTGCATCTGGGGTATCGGTTTGTTAGTCGCAAGAGCCCGGTCTGTGCAAATGGAGTCCTGAGGTCCTGAGCCGGAGGGCAACAGCACGGGTAGGTTCAATGGGTGTAGGGGAAGCGGCGGGTGTTATCTTGGTTTGGGGTACAACATAACGGTGGGTATGCAAACACAGAGCTCCTTTATTTCAGCAGTGCAGCGCTACTTGGCAAGGTTTGGGGCATGCAGCAGTTCCTAATTACAGTACAGTGCGGGCCAAGGAAGTACAAGCGAGGATTAATTAGATCTAGACGAATCGGGCAAAAGGGCCAGTATATACAGGCTCGGCTCATATCCGTGCGAGCAAAGAGCTCTTCATGGTGGCACATGTTCCTTGTGCCGGGCTATCACCTGAATTGGCGTCGAGACGGCAAAGCCGATGTAGGCGGCGTTTGCTCCTGAGTGGCCGTAGCTATGTCCGCCTGAGCGGAAGTCGAGGCTTCTGCTGCAGTGGAACCCTGGGTGTCTCCACCTGTGGAGTGTACCTCAGTTTCCGTCTCTGGCATGGGGCTCGCGGGTGACACCTTTGCGTCGACGTTCTGAAGCATGTCCCTGAGGCTTTCCAGACGTGCATTTGCCCTGTCCGCGTTCCTCCCCAAGTACATCATGGCATCCGACAGATTAGTGACTTTATCATCTATAGCATGAACTGTGTCACAGATGTAGTCAGCGGCTTCCTTGGAAAGGTTCGGAACGGTGGATTGCATCGTCTCAAGCTGGTCCTGGAGGTCCTTTAGTGCCATGCTGACTGTAAGGCATGACTGTTCCACAGCGCGGTTCTGCCTGAGCATGCTCTCTGGTAGCTTGTCTCTCTGACCCTGAAACTCCTGTTCGAAAGATAGGAGCTTGGCGTCGAGGTTATCGAGGTGCTGTTTCATGGTACTGTCAACTGCTTCTGAAATAAACTCCAAATGACCCTGGATGCCTTGGAGTGTCTCAGGAATTTGCCCCAAGAGCGGCGCAGTGTGGTCTTTAAGGA